AAGTTTACTGATTTGTCTTATTTTTCCTAAACCTTATAATATTATTTAACAAATATGTTACAATGAAACTCAAACCTTACACTTCCAACTTAGGTGAAACACAAACTTATTCTCATCTCATTGCCATTAAAACTCGCGTCACAAAATTTTCGTTTCAATAAACGACTCGAAATTGTCAGACGGGAAAGTAAAAGGGTGTGTTCTTGAAGGTGCTTGATTGAAGCATCCCATGGGTGTGCCTCTAGATTTCTTGCTACTTCCTTCAACTGTGGACCTGGAAACCATGTCAATGCTTTACCAAAAAGTTTGTAGATTGTCTTACCTTAACCTGACTTCCTAAAATCTTCGAGGTGCCTAAAGTGATTTTTGGCTTCTAGCCACAGATGCATGTTAGTAGAAGGGTTTGGACTCCTTTCCTCTTCCCAAAGTTTTTTATAACCTAATATTTACGAGCCTAACATACCAATGTTCAAGCTTGGCTTGTTTCTTATCAACCCAAACATAAACTCGGCTTGTTTCTTGCACTAGCCTAGCTTTGTCGAGCTGAATCCAATGCAAGCTCGAGCTGTTTTGAGCTAATGCTAGTTGGTCCAGTCGTGAGATGAGGGAGATACATAAAGGAGTTACATGAATCTATTTCACTCAAGTTTTTCTTCATGTATGCAGCATGATATGATGAAAAAGTGATAGTGAGAGTAATCTACTACATTAAACATGCCTGACATTTAAAAATAACTTCTTGAAAGCAGCCGGTTGCCAAACTCTTGAAGTTCTTCAATTCTGCATGTTCTTCTACCAGTAAGCCCATCACTCCATAATAACTTTGCTGAGAAGACCAAAAGTCAAAGAATTTTGGATAATTTGCCTATACACCCCTTGTCGACATGTCATCATCACGGCCAACTCATATCCTGCGGTACCCACCCGGACGGTTTGGATATGTATAACTGAGAGTTCCCTTCTATCCATGGAAAAACACTTGGTGGGATTTGCTCTGGATCTATTTTAATGATTCGAACTATCTATTTTTTTATTCTCGACTCAAGATTATCCAACAAAAACTGAATTATTTATTTCTGTAATTCTCAATTCAAGATCATCCTAACAAAAAAATAAGATAAAATCTGAAACCGTTAATGCGTCTAATTGGAGTCAAGTAAATAGACGAGTATGATACTTTAAGGAAAAAAAAAAAAGCAAAAATGACAGCCATTTGATTGAGTGGTCAAACGAATTCAGATTTCAATGGCATTGGATTCAAGAAAGACCTTTGAGAGAAGACTTATATATTTGGATTATTAAAGAGCATCCCATTGGGATCCCAAAGAGTGGCCAAACATTGGGTTGGTAAAGCATTATTGTAGAATTTTTCAGGTCGACGGGCCGAGGGCTCACTCCAACAACACTGATACTGTTTGTCCCCACTTAACCATCTGCACAATCCTCAAGTGTGGAGTTTTATCACAAAAGGCATCGATGTTAGTTAGAGTGGGATAATTCTATATAAATTGCTCTTTCTTCTTCCCTCTGTCCGATGTGGGACAAATTGAGTTCCAACAATTATGGTCCATCTAAGTGTGGGGTTATATCTCATAAGACCTCGAAAATGGATTTTTCTTTAATACTTACCTAGCATTGAATGATACAAGAAATGAATGATTCAAATTGAAAATAAAACTTTATTCGCACAAATCTAGCAAAAACAAGAAGGAAAAAGAAATTACTAAAATCTAGTCATTCAAATTAACTTTGTTTTTATTTTTATTTTTATTTTTATTTTTATTTTTTTGCAATTGACCCTTTACCACAATGGTGGAAAGGAGTTTGGTCCTTGCATGACGGGGTGGATTCGAACCCCGTCGGGGCTAATCTAACATTTAATCTAACAAAATCTATCGTATGACAACAAAAAAAAACTTTGTTTTATGTCAGTTACACATCAATGTGAAGACCTGTTTGGTAGTATTCCCTGCCTTTTTGGAGAGAGAGGATCCGACATGAAGACTTGTTTTGTAGTATTCCCTGCCTTTTGGTGAGAGATGATCCTCGCCAGATCCTCTTTGTGAGGATCTCGGGGATTCTCCAATCACATACGTTTATCGTATATTGTGCGGCCAGTTTTCGTCAGGTACTGTTTATATTCAATTTTAAATAAAAAAAATTACAATGATTTCTGACTGCACGATGTATAATGAACGGATGTGATTTGAAGATTCTCAGGATCTTTACACCTCGGGATCCTCACAAAGAGAATATGACGAGGATCCCCACTCCTTTTTGGATGCGAAAGCGATTTCAGATTGTAGTTTTGCACGCATAAGATCATCTAGGAGATGTCAAATATGCCAAATAAGATTAAAAGACATTCAAGTGTTCTCCAATGGATTTGCCATATATGATGTGCCATGTGAGTCATTTGACTCCTTACTTTCTAGCTGCCTTTTTTGACAGCAAACAAGGAAGAAGTCAAATACATTTAATTTAATTTTTAATGCATGGGTCCCATTAACAACCAATAGAATACAAACTAAAACTAATTTTGATTATTTTTTAATAGTTAATGTAACTCTAGGCCCAATAAAATAATAAAATAAATATTTGACACATCTATTGGAAAAGAAGAAGATTTAGCACTTGTATTCAATTTGCCACATCAGCCATGAAATAAAATTTTGACATATCTTGGAGATGCTCTAAACTACAACGGATGGTAAAGCTAAAGAATTGCAGATTATAATATTAATTAAGTAGACTAACAGGCTAAAGACCTCTATATTTGACCAATTATTTGCAACTTTATCATCATATTCTATGAAAAGGGATCCTCGCCGGACGCTTTTTTTGGGAATCATAAGGATTTCGTGATCATGATCGTTTATAATACATCGTGCGATTAAAAATCATTTCAAAATTTAAAATTTAAAATTAAATATAAATAATACCTAACGAAAAATGACCGCACGACGTACAATGAACGATCACGATCACGAGATCCCTAGAATCCCCAGAAAAAGAATCTGGCGATGATCTTTTTCCATATTCTATAAGACTTAAATGTTTCTTTTTCAAAATTAATGTTAATTTAGGAATGCTAAATGTATCTTTTCTTTGTTTTATGTTGTCACATATATTGACTAATAATCAAGCTTTCGATGTGCAGATTTTTTTCTTCCTTTTTATATACAACAATAACAAGTGGGGTGATGATTGAGCTTTACTATGAGCTAGTCATAATTTAGTTTCGAAATTACTAAGTTACTATTCATGGAGTCAAACATCAAACATCTCACTTAATAATGGAGAGAAATTCTAAAACTTTAATTTCCAAGTTCAATAAATATTACCCAAGTCATTTTCAAGCTCTGAGAGTGCCGCTGCTAGAAGGAAAATTTGACTTTTTATAAGCAGCCAAGCCTACCCCTACTTGTTTGTTTTTTAACAAATAATATTATCTACCCTTACTTAGCATTCTTATTTTATCATTTGTCTATCTTCTTACTACGTTTCACACTTAGCTAGTAACGTTTGATACAAAATTCCTAACATAATCTACAATCTGCTACCTTTGACATCTGATTTTTTTTTCCTCCAGTATTGGACATAGGCCTCATTGGATGTTTAAGATTGGCTTGGCTTGAACAACTTATTAAATTCAATGAATGTTGAATGCAAATATGGATGCCAAATTGCATACTTTGTCCAAGTGAAAGTAAAAGATAGAGAAATCACAAAGAAATCGGAAATGGTAGGATTCGAAAAAATATGTTAGTTGACGTCCATGTATATATTTCTATTTAACATTCATTGAATCTAGTGGATTGTCGAAGCCAAGACATGAAACGAGCTCATAGAATCTATATTGTGTAAGCTGCTAGATTAGTTGGGAATTTAATCTCAAATGAGTTTGCGGTTCATTCTTCCTCGCAGTGTCGACAAAGGGGACATGTTTATGTTCATGGAAAACAAGAAGAGATGGATACAGGTGTCAATTTGGAACGTTAGTAGTAGACAAAAGATATTTATGGGAAATTATATCAAGATGTGATTGCGATATATAGTTATATACAGGGATTTTTGTTATTGGCAAAAATGTCAAATATGTGATGAGCAAGGATAAATTCAAACATGCTGCGGTTTCATATGCCAAGCAATCCACAAATTTTTTGCGGTATTTTAATGGACATAAATGAAGGTTTGTGAAATGTTGAATTTTAAAGAAAACTTAGTTGTCAAAAGGACCCTTAATTGACAGGAGCAGTAGGGAGGGCCATCCTATATGATGACATATTGCTAACCTCCATTAAAATTCAAATTATCAGTTGTACCGGTGAGAGACAGATGAGCAATTAAATCTTTCATCAATACATCATATAGTTGGGAGGAAAGGGTTAAAGAATGAAGGTAGTATTAGATAGCCCTACTAATACACTTTTATGTAGAACAGATAGTTACAAACTTATAAGATTATCAACTTTTTTTTTTTTTTTCTTTTTTTTTTCTGGAGAAATATAACTTTATACACATAGTAGGGATAGGCAAATACTCACGGGTATGAGTAACCGCAGTTAGTTACCCATTTAAAATTCACAACTACGGTTATGGGTAATCGTTGAGATAAATAAACGGTTATAAGTTTAACCATTTACCTGTGAAATTTAAATGAGTGGTTCATTGTATTACCCGCGGTTATAAACAAATATCCATTTAACCGTTTATTTTAATATATGTAAAATTAAAAAATAACTAGAACCCTAAATTAATAAATTTTAACGTCAGAAAGATCTTACTAATTATGAGTTTGAGTTTATTTATCATGCATTGCATTCTAAAGTTAAACATATGTTGGTTAGAAGGGAATTAAATTGTTGACGTGTTTTCATATATATATAACTTGACACACCCCGACCTAGTCAGGACGTGCTGGCCGTCACGTGGGAGTGACGTAATCATGTGCACAGTGCGGAAGCAATAAAGATATAAAGGAAATACGAAGGAAAAAAAAAACAAATTACTAGCAGAACTAGTTAAGATAGAGTGCTAGTGCGAGATTTAACGTGAAATACACAACCAAAGTATCAGTATCCTAGATGTAGTCAAGCAGAACAAGTACTAATTATAAAACACCCAAAGGTGATCCTACATTTATGATGTTCTATTAGAACCACCGTCGAAGTCCTCGTGAGCCACCCAAGCACTGCTATCTAAAACCTGGAGGGGTGCAAAACAGAAAGTGTGAGTGGGCAAAAACAAAGCTTTTCAAAATCATTTCATTTCTCAAAAGTTCTAACCCCTCGTCATAAAATCTGTATAATTTCCCATAAATCATGATAATGATAATAAGCTGAATTGGAAATCATACTCAAGATGAAAATCCATAGAAGTATACCATGCCAAAGTATCTCAATGCAATGCTATAAGTAATTCAGGCAAAATATATCAATGACAAATATTGCGTCAGCCAAATCCCTCTAACTGAATCTGCACGGCTGAGTATATAGCTCATAACCAATCTCAATCATATCAAATCAAATCCTGCACACAAGTCGAAACCACTTAAAGTGGTCTGTACGACAAGACTAGGTGTAAAATAAATAAGCTCTAGTGCTACGATCATGTGAAGGTTGTGCGAATGATCGCGGGTCACCTACGAGTCGGAAGCACCTAAAGTGGTCTCTACGGCAAGCCTGTGCACCTAACTTGGATCCAAGGTGAGCATATGGTGCGGGAGGTGAACATCACGTGAAGGACTGTGCCCTAACTCTGGGTGGGAGCACTAACACCGAGGTGCAGGTTTATGAGCTCTCAATACATCACATCATAATCACACCATATCTCGCATAACCGAAGCAATCTCATAACTTTAATTTATGCACTTACCTGGCACTTACATGTGCGTCCATAGCACCAATCATAAATATATGCAACTACTAATGCATAAATAAAATAGGCAGATACTTTGCATGGCATTTCAAAATGTATAATAATTCAAATTCATTTTCTGGGAAAAGTCTCAATTATATAGGTATATACGGAAAACCAAAAGCCCACTCACTGGTATGTCGAAGGGTCGTAGCCCTCGAGCCTCGATTGATGGCGCTCGTCCTCAAGATAGGTCTCACTTATATGCGAAATAACTGAATAAACGTTATTTAAAGCACATACACAAAACTAGGAAATAACTTCTCATACAATGCTCAAATGGGGTATTTGAATATACCACCATGACCTACTCAACCTCAGGAACATCCTCATATTTTTAGAAAAATTTTCCAACCACCCACGCACCCTCATGTGCCGACCAAGGCACGGCCAGACGCGCCCCCACGCGCGGCCACGTGCCTGGTACGCCTAACAGAATCTTTAACGGCGTTAGGGAATATTCCATCAAAAGTAGCATATTCCGTTAAAACTAACCTGACGCCATTAGAATATTCCGTCAAGTTTGACGGAATATTCCGTCGTCTTCAACTTTTGAACTCTGGTGATCGACGTCGTCGCTGGAAAATTGGAAAACTTCAAATCTTCACCCCGTTCATTTCCCAACCAAATTTCATGAAATTTGTACCAAAATGAAGCTTAGGACGAGAGGAACAAAACCTTACCACTTTCGAGCCTTGAAATTCATGGGATTTCGCCGGAGGAACCTCGATAATCCGGCCAAACTTGAAACTCGCCAAACTCGGCTTCCCAACGTCTAATTTGCTTCGTTTTGATGTCTTAAAGCTCACCAGTAGCTTAAAATCTTCTAAAAACCTCACATTCACGATTGCATGAACAGTGCTCAAATCGGAGATTAAGGTTTCTTGGGTTTTCGAGGTTTTCATGTCCAACCACCACCACCATTCGACTCCTGAGCTTGCAAGGAGTCCAAAAACACTAATTACAACCTTGATCTGTGAAGTTTGAAAGGGTTTTGGGGTTTGTCCGTACAGGTTGTACGGAAATGGTAAGAATTCCGAGAGAGAGGAGAGAGATAGGGTCAATGGGAGAGAGAGAGAGAGTGTGTGTGTGTGTGTGTGGTCCTGATTCTCTTACAACCAACCAAAACAATTAGAACCTTTAGTTCTAATTGTGTCCAAAGAGTTAGGAAGAAAATGATTGGTCCACAACACAACTTAAACCACACAACACCACAACCGTCTAAGGGTATTTTAGGCAATTCACCTTCGAAAAATTATATTTCGGGACGGGCTGTCACATAACTACGTTCGTCTTGCTATTTTGGTTATAAATCAATGTTTCATGATCATGTGTATGGATGTTCTTGTTAATTCATTTCCAAATTCTTATTGTGGTTATAAATTAATGTTTGATGTTAGGACGTTGGGTAAGAAAAATCTCATTGATTCATTGTCAAATATGACGGTGTTTAATTGTCAGAAAAAGAAAATTAAGACAAATTTTTATTTATTTATTTTCAAGTTGTTAAAAAACATGTAGATGTGTATAAAAGGGGTGAACGAGTTAAAAATGGATAAACGGGTTAAAAATGGGGATGCGGTTATAGTTAAATGGGTACGTGGTTATGAGTATATAGCTAACCATTTATAAATGGTTATGGGTATGGGTGTAACCGTTTTTAAACGGTTATGAGTATAAATATAATCGTTTATGCAATTACTCAAATGGTAGACAGTTATGTGAGTAAAAGTTTAAACGGTTATGGGTAAATAATTGTAGTTACCCACCCGTTATAACCATTGCCTATCCCAACATCACGAGCAATTCAAGAATCATGGTAATAGAGAGTTTGATTCTAAGAGACCTTACCCTTAAGATCATATAGTAAATGTTACTGGTTTATAGGATTATCAACTAGACAACTGGGACAATGAAGTATTCTCTATTTATATAATAACATAAGACGTATTGCTTCATGTTCCATACTTTGAAAAATCTCTTCTAAACAAGAAGGGATGTGGCTTAATTTGGAACGTTAATTACAATAATATAACACTTATTTTAGGTCGCATAATACGCTAAGCTTCCATTTGGCACGCAATGGCCAACAACAGTTAACCATAATTATAGATTCATATTAATTCTTATTTCCATTTTGATAAGCATACTAATTGTTTTTCTAATTCATTTGAAAGATTATTATTTTCCTATTAATCACCAATTGTTCTCCTTTGGGATAATATTAGTGACTGCCTTGACCACAATGTGTTCATAATCTTTTTCAATAGAGCATATAGACCAAGTACCGGTGGACCAAAGTGTCACGAATGGTCTGTTTGAGATTACTTTTGTTGAAAATATTTCGAGAAATACTTTCATGAAACGTTTCTATGACCTAAAAGCACATTGCACAATGAAATTTGATATTGTATCATTTTTTTTTTTAAACAAATGATAGTATCTACACTAAGGAGGTAAGAGAGTGAGCTAAGTCTCACAATCGGTCTACCAAAATAATGTGGTTCAAATTTACCTTTGGCAAAATACACTGTTTTTTTTGAATATTCTTCTCGCAATGAGGATTCTCACATCGTCTCCGTTTATCGTATATCATGCGGTCAGTTTTCGTCAGGTACTGTTTGTATATATTTTTAAATAAAAAAATTTAAAATGATTTCTGATCGCACGATGTACGATGAACGGATCGCCTGGATCCTCACAAAGAGGATCCGGAGAGGATCCTCATTCTAATTCTCTACTAAATTGATGGCGAGTCTGTCAAAGGCTTTGTCTAGGGAAAGTTTTGATCTTGTACTTGTGCTTGTTTGAAGCATTTGGAAAGAAAGGAATGCCTTCTACTGGAATATGGTACTTCAACGCCTCCTCTGGAAATTCAATGCAAGAATGGCATGGCTGCAGGAGTTTAAAAAGTGGCATGGTAAGACAAAACTCACACAGCGCTCTACTGTGCCGACATGGAAGAAGCCGGAGAGTGGATGGCTCAAATGCAATTTTGACTGGACTTGGGAGGAGCACGGAGGTGTAGGGGGTGTGGGTGTAGTTATCCGTGATGATACGGGAACCTTTGCATGCGGAGATGGAAGCGGCGAAGATAGCTGTTATATTTGCCCTCTGCAGGCTTGGTGGAATTTGAAGGAGATGCACAGCTTGTTTTAGCTGCTTTAAATCTGGGGTAGCGAATGATACCTCTGCACTGGACACGTCGTGAATGATGCTCGGACACTTCTCGGTTCATTCCCTCATATCAAACTCACCTACACTCGACGAGAAGCCAATACGGTGGCTCAAAGATTAGCAAGATCGGGGTTGTCTCTGGAACAACAAGTGGTTTAATTTGAAGAACCACTGATGTAATTACTGATCTTTTATTTAAGGAGAAATTAGGTTCCCATTTTTTTTTTCTATACCATTGATTCAAACCGTATTCCTTTCCAACTTTTAATCAAGGTCCTTAGGTTTTAATGAATGTCATTATTTCAATAATAAATATTTACGTGTCAAGATAATTAAATTGTATTATTAAATATATTTGTTTAGTGTTAGAAATGTTACATTTGGTATTGTTGATGCACAAAATCGGAGGGGTCTTGGAACAACGTAAATCCGACCGTGAATCTGCAAGTAATGTAAATAACACAAGATGTATCGTTGTTCATTCCAAGATTTGGGCTACGTCCACATTGTTATTGTATTTTTGAGGGGGAGAGAGAGAGCCTCTATAATGAATCTGAGAGGCTCTGAGAGTGACAGCTTGAGGGGGTGAGGAGCCTTAGGAATTGGCCTCCCCTAATTGTGAGGGTGATGAATCATTTTATAGAATAAGGGCTCCTCACTTATTACATATTTGCCCCTTCCTTTATTACATAATTACATTTAAGTCTCCCGAGTATTTATACGAGATCTAAATACGGAGGCCCTAAGTATGGTACAAACAGTAGTCCCCCAAGTCTTCAGTCAAGAGAGTCTTTTGGCTGAAGACTTGAAATTCAGTCCATGTGTGGGCCGAAGTAACTAGATGTCGTCTAGAGCTGAATACTCGATATGAGGCGGCGCTTAATGTGAAATGAGGCTCAACTAGATGTAGCACATGTTGCAAGGCTGCTCGGCTTGTGGCTTATGTTGCCTTGGTTGGCTCGGCTTGTGGCGGTTGAAGGTGAGGGAGTTCCTTTTATAGAATAAGGGCTCACTCCTCAATACATGAATGATGGGCTAAAGTTGATGCTCTCTAATGATGGTGAGGGAGTTCCTTTTATAGAATAAGGGCTCGCTCCTCAATACATAAATAATGTGCTAGAGTTGATGCTCTCTAATGATGGTGAGGGAGTCCCTTTTATAGAATAAGGGCTCGCTCCTCAATACATAAGTGATGGGTTAAGTCCCCCAAGTATTTTTTAGGAGGCCCAATATATGGTACATAGTGTAGTCCCCCAAGTCTTCGGTTAATAGAGTCTGTTGGCTGGAGACTTCATATTGAATCCATGTATGGGCCGAAGTGGCGGTTGTTCGAAGACGGTATTTGTATACCCTGCACTGAAGCTTTGTAGGTGAAGCTTTGGAAGTGAAGCTTGAGGCTGGAGCTCTGTAAATGAAACTTTTGAAGCTAGAGCTTTTGTAAATGAAGCTCTTGAAGCTAGAGCTCTGTAAATAAAGCTTTTGAAGCTAGAGCTCTGTAAATAAAGCCTTTGAAGCTAGAGCTTTTGTAAATGAAGTTTTTGAAGCTGGAACTCTATAAATGAAGTTTTTGAAGCTAGAGCTTTTGTAAATGAAGCTTTTAAAGCTGATTGACATAAGTGATGCTCATGAATGTTTATGTTGATTGACATGAGTGATGCTCATGGATGTTGACATGAGTGATGCTCATGAATGTTGACATAAGTGATTGATGCGTAAATTAACTTAACACACAAATTAAACCCTCTTGTTGACAATTGTAGTATATGTATAAGTAGGGATCGTTCTTAAACCGGGGATTAGGAGGGATTGCTAAACACTCTAAACTGACTCAAATAGATAAAACTAAGCTTTAAAACACTTAACTAGACTCAAAAGACTCAAAACAACTCAAAAGACTCAAAACAAGCTAAAAACACTCAAAACTGCCTAAAAACACAAACTGGGCAGTTTTGAGCTCTAAACACAATTTGGACGAAATTTGGGTTTCTAAAGGCTCAAAACACTTAAAAACACAATCTAAGACAAGTTCTAACTAATATGACTTAACAAAGTAAAGGGGGTTTGGCTTTGGACGAAAATAAGTAAATTAAAACAAGAACAATTTAAACAAATTCTTAAGCAAATTTAGGTGAATTGATGAGATATGGGGTAACTAGAGGGTTCTTCTCCACACATGACACACTTGCATTCAAATTGATTTCCAATTGCTTCTCTCAATAAGTCTTGAAACTCAATACTCCAGGTTAACTGTGACAACACTTTTTTAACCTTCAAGTTCTCCTTAAGTTAATGAATTGGATGGGAAAGCACATACAACAATTCAAAGCATTCTCTAAAAGTCCCCTACGTGAAAAGCACAATAAAGGTACAATCAAAGATCATTAAGTTTCATGAAAACTATAAGCATTGACAAGGCAATTGTAACTATGAAAAGCATGAAACTTTTGCCAAGAATTCACTTAACATGATCGTTTATAAGCGACATCCACTACTTGCAAATATAAGTTTGTAACTATTAGGTGAAACTTCCTTATATTTTAGCTTCAAATCCTTGCATGAAAACTAAGTGTGCACTCTTAATAAACATACAAGAATAAGTTATCAATCAAACGGTTAAGCAAATTGAATTCACAACTTATGAAATAACAACTGAAGGTAATCAATTCATAATGCAAGTATAATCATGGTATTGAATAGCCCCTAGCCAAGAAGGGCTTAGTTCCTCATAAACGCAAAACAAAGATACATAAATTTAGACATTGAAAACAAAGAATGAAAACACCTAGAAACGCTCCAACAATCCAACGTCTTGAATGGCAAGCACGTCCAAGGGTTTCCTTCCTTCTTCTTTGCTGCGGCACAAGGGATGGTTGAAGGTTTTTGTGGTGATTTGTGGTGGTGGATGGATATAGGTTGGTTATGGTGAAGGGTGGAGTGCT